TGTAAATTATGATAGATCATATATTAATATTTTTAGTAAAATATTAAAATTTTATCAAAAAGTTTAGATTATTGCTTGTGTTATTCGGATGAATAATTGATGTTATTTTAAGTGAAATTTATGAAAAACCAAATATAAATAAATATATGTGTCCAAAATAATCAATGATAATTAGGCAAACCAATATTAATATCATATATGTTATTTATATGTCATATATGAAAATGAAAATAAATCAAATGATCTTTCTGAAAGATTAGTTTATTGTTATTAATATATGGACTCATATTTATATGGTTAGCCTATAATAAATACATCTGACTATGAAAAAAAATATATGTATATACATATATAAAAAGTTAGTAACCAGATGTCCTGACGAAGTAAATAAGTCTTTTAAGTATAATTTATGTTAATCATTCGGCGTCATAACTCATTGATGATTTACATATCTAGTTTAATATATTTCTATTCAACAGTCTTGTTACATGATTTTTATAATTTTTCCTGAAATTATGTTTTTTATTTAACATTTTTTATCAATTTTGTTTCAGAATCGATGATTTTACTAAAATCAGTGATACTGGCTCAATACTGCCTTGTGACATGTACTTGGAATTTATGAAGATTGAAAATTTTAGGGTTATTTTGGATATATTACTTAAAATTTTATGGGCACGAGATTTTTAATTGATTTATGCTGCTTTCGTATTTGCTAAATACCACTTAATGAAATTTTTAAAGATTATACATTTTTTTAAGGGTGTACATTTATGGAGCACGAGTCATTACATAAATTAATAAATCTAAACGTTTAAAAATCTATATTTTGATAATTGATTTTAAATTTCGGAACTAATCTAAATAAATTCAAATGTTTAAGAATCCATAATTTGATTGAAACCGAAGAATCTTTTGAGTTTAAAGTTTTAAGCTCCATGCTTATTATTATTGTTCATAGCTTCGATTTCGAGATAAAATCTCAAATTTATTCTCTCTAAGGATATCTCCATTAATACTACTTTCTTAAGATTTAAATAAAAATAATTAAATTTAAATATTAGCTTTTTACTTAATAAATTGGGAAATAACATAAAACAAACAGCTTGCATATTTGAAAAAATTAGGAATTATATTTGGACTTCATGACCTTAGATCCACTATAAGGGACATAATGATTATCTCAATGATAATATTTGAATATATATATATATATATATATGTAAAATTTTGGTAATTTTTTTAGAAATAATATTTGACATTAACCATTTAGGTAAAAAAATAAAAATAAAAATAAAAGACATATACATATAATAATAATAAAATTGTTTCCATAATTGGAATTTGGGGAAGTATAACAAAATAAGATTATTTAAGATTTTATAAATAAAAAATTAGGAGTTATATTTGTAAGTAATGTTATTCCATAAAAGCTAAAATTAAAGAAAAAACAAATCTAAATTTGGCATTTCTTTTTTCAAAAAAAAGAAATTAAAATGTCCCATTTAGTTAAAAACAAAATCAAAATAAATCAAATTAAAAGATATTAAAATAAAATTTTCCCATAATTGCAATTTTAGAATTAAGTATAAACAATCTTTAAAAACAAAGGATTTATAATGAATGACAAATAACAATCATTCATTAGAGGAAAAATATTAGTAAAATTAATGGTAATTAATATATTCTAAATCATCATGAAATTGAAAATTATATATATATTGAATTACCATCATTTGTTGTAGAGAAATATACAAAGAAGAACCCTAGAAATTAACTTTGCTTCTTCTCCCAAAGTTATAAGCAGGTAAAATGAGTTCAAGTATTTATTTATCTATTTTCAATTTGATTATCAGTTAAATATTCTTAATTAATTTTACAGTGTATTACAGTTGATTCGATTAAAACAATGGAATTTAAAAGAACGACAGTAGTTACAACGATAGCAGTAGTGATAATGTTAATAGGAGGTGCCATAAGTGCTCCTAAAACATGGATTGTGGGAGATGAATATGGTTGGGACACCATCATTAACGTCGAACAATGGCCGGAAGGAAAACACTTCTATGCTGGTGATATACTTGGTATGTACATTTATCTATATATAATATATCTCTTCGTGTATATACATATATATATATGTAAATTAAATAGTTATTTTTTGTTAAAAAATATATTGCAGTGTTTAATTACGATTATCGAGACAGCAACGTGGTGAAGCTATTAAATAAGACAGGATATGATACGTGCACAAAACCAGAGGGTGCTGAGGAATATGAATCGGGAAATGATAAAATTCCACTTGATTTTGGACTCAATCACTTCATTTCTGGTTATCCCGTACAATGCCAAGCTGGCTTGAAGATGTTCATTAATGCCACGGCTCCCCCAAATTGAACATTAATGTACTTTTTGGATTCTTGAGATTTTAATAAATACTATAAGCTATTGTTTTCGACATGTTTCAGGAATTAAATGCTTAATATATATGTTTACGACGCAAGTCATATTAAAATTTTATAAGTTTATGTTTACTAACTTGGTATAAACTATGATAAGTCATACATCAATGCTATATATATCACGTCGATCACAATTCAAATTGAAATTCTACAAATTTTAAGATTACTCAAATAAGTTAGTTGTAAATATTTAATATCTTTGTCAAGTGTCATATTAAATTTTATAAATTTCAAAATTATTTTATAAGTTGGTGTAAATTAGTATAGACCAGACGTCAATATTATGTATCACATCAATTGCAAATCATATTAAAATTCTAAAAATTTCAAAATTATTCACTAAGTTGGTATAAAGTGTGATAGACCATATATCAATATTTACAATGAAATATTAAAATTTTATCAAAAGTTAAATTATTTGATCAATCATTATAAATAAATGTAAGATATACATTAATTTCACTTTTACTTTCAAATAAAAAACATGTACATATTGCAAAGACAATGAGATTTTCTCTCTATTAAGATCAATCGCATTTAAAGATGATTAGGGAGTCCTCAAATAATTGTGATAAATGCTAGTAAGGCACAATGAATTGCACCAATATCATTAAAAGGAACCGTGAAAATTACACGAACAATGAAAATTTCACCAAAATTTAATTTTTAAATGATTCAAATCAACGAAGTTTAAGAAACATAAGATTATATAGTTTTTCAACGTGTTCCACAACCTAAATGTTTAATATCTCCATGAATATTACGTATTACATCAAATCATACTAGAATTTTTCAAATTTTAAGATTGGATACTAAGTTAGTGTAAATTATAATAGGTCATATAACTAGAAATTAAAAATCTTTTCTTAGGCCTTACACACCATATAAATAAAATATTTTTTATATTATTTATATGTCGTATATGAAAATAAAAATAAATCAAATGATCTTTTTGAAAGATTAGTTTATTATTATTTATATGGACTCATATTAGTTTATTTATATGGTTAGGTGATAATAGATATATTTGATTATGAAAGAAAATATATGTATGTCTAGGTATAAATATATATGTTTATACATCCTAAGTATTCCAAAAGTTAGGTAACCAGATGCTCTAACGAAATAAATAAATCTTTTGAGCATAATTTATGTTACTTATTTGACGTCTTAATTCATTGAGCGTTACATACTCAGATTGATAGATTTCTATTCGACAGTTTTATTATATGATTTCTATGATTTTTTATAGAACTGAATTTTTTATTTAGCCTTTTTCATTAATTTTTTTGAGACTATATAATTTTATTAAATTTAGTGATACTAACTCAATACTGCTTTGTGATGTTTAGTTAGAATTTATAGAGAATGAAAATTTTAGTGACATAAAATTTCTAATTGATTTATGGTGTCCTCACATTCGCTCATATACCCCTTAACGAAATTTTCTTAAAGATGCACACTTATGGAAAACTGAGTCATTGTATAATCTAATAAATCTAAGCGTTTAAGAATTCATATTTTGATAATTGGTTTTTAAGTTTCGAAACTAATCTAAATAAATTCAAGTGTTTAAGAATTCATATTTTGATTGAAACCGAAGAATCTTTTGACTTTAAAGTTTTAAGCTCCATTCTTATTATTATAGCTTCGATTTCGAGACAAAATCTCATGTTTATTCTCTCTAGGGATATCTCCACTAATACTACTTTCTTAAGATTTAAATAAAAATAATTAAATTTAAATATTAGCTTTTTACTTAATAAATTGGGGAATAACATAAAATAAACAGCTTGCATATTTGAAAAAATTAGGAATTATATTTGGACTTCATGACCTTAGATCCACTATAAGGGACCTAATGATTATCTCAATGATAATAGTTGAATATATATATATATATATGCAAAATTTTGGTAATTTTTTTAGAAATAATATTTGACATTACCCATTTAGGTAAAAAATAAAAATAAAATACATATATATATAATAATAATAATAAAATTGTTTCCATAATTGCAATTTGGGGAAGTATAATAAAATAAGATTATTTAAGATTTTGGAAATAAAAAATTAGGAGTTATATTTGTAAGTAATGTTATTCCATAAAAGCTAAAATTAAAGAAAAAACAAATCTAAATTTGGCATTTCTTTTTTCAAAAAAAAAGAAATTAAAATGTCCCATTTAGTTAAAAACAAAATCAAAATAAATCAAATTAAAAGATATTAAAATAAAATTTTCCCATAATTGCAATTTAAGAATTAAGTATAAACAATCTTTAAAAACAAAGGATTTATAATGAATGACAAATAACAATCATTCATTAGAGGAAAAATATTAGTAAAATTAATGGTAATTAATATATTCTAAATCATCATGAAATTGAAAATTATATATATATTGAATTACCATCATATGTTTTAGAGAAATATACAAAGAAGAACCCTAGAAATCAACTTTGCTTCTTCTCCCAAAGTTATAAGCAGGTAAAATGAGTTCAAGTATTTATTTATCTATTTTCAATTTGATTATCAGTTAAATATTCTTGATTAATTTTACAGTGTATTACAGTTGATTCGATTGAACCAATGGAATTTAAAAGAACGACAGTAGTTACAACGATAACAGTAGTGATAATGTTAATAGGAGGTGCCATAAGTGCTCCTAAAACATGGATTGTGGGAGATGAATATGGTTGGGATACCATCATTAACGTCGAACAATGGCCGGAAGGAAAACACTTCTATGCTGGTGATATACTTGGTATGTATATCTATCTATATATAATATATCTCTTCGTGTATATACATATATATATATGTAAATTAAATAATTATTTTTTGTTAAAAAATATATTGCAGTGTTTAACTACGATTATCGAGACAGCAACGTGGTGAAGCTATTAAATAAGACAGGATATGATACGTGCACAAAACCAGAGGGTGCCGAGGAATACGAATCGGGAAATGATAAAATTCCACTTGATTTTG